TTAAGTAATGAGTTAAATGTAGGATGATTGTAAGTGAAATGTATAGTTTTGCATTTGTAAAATTGGCTATCTTTGGTGCAACTGATTGAGTATGGATTCTCTGTATTTTTTTATATTAATGAAGACATGTAAAAATTTTGTATAAATCATAGGGATTTTGATCAAAAATTTTTTCAATGGTATGATTTTTTTCTTTAATTTGTTTAAAATATTTGTTGCTAGGTTTGCATTTTATTTTATTTTATTTTTATTTTTCTAAAATATTTGTTGCATATTGCATGGATGGTAATCGGATTGGGTTTTTTTTGTGGATTGGTTTGTGTTTTTTGTTTAGTTAGTGTTTTTTATGCAGGTATTGTTGAATGTTGTTGGGGATTAAGTTGAAGTTCATTAGAAATTTTTATTCTATAAATTTGCCTTTATTGCAACAGTTGTTATATTGAACAAGTATTCACATATCCCACATGTTTTAATTTATCTTAACTAGAAAAATGCATTTGGTATTGGATCTGAACCATCCCTTGCCTTTTTATATGGATCTGTTGATATGCTTCACATGCTTAAATTAGCATAATCATTGACTGTTGGTTGAATCAGGGCTTCATTAAACATACAACAAACCAGTGCTTCCTGTCATTATTATTTTGCATTGAACATTCAACTTATCATTATCATAATTAAATGTCATTTGAAACTGGTTATCTCTCATTACATGTTCATAACTGTTGGTTAACTTTGTTTATCTCTTGATGCAAAGTTCGTGGTTTATCTACTCGAAAAACCATAGCGAGGTGGAACTCTATTTTACTAATGGTAGGTTTTGGTCATTTTTGGTTTGATATTCTCTGTGGCTTAGTTGTTACTTTCTAGGTTCATGGTTTTGAGCACTGAAAATGGGTATGGCTTAAAACGGTTGTTGAATATAGAGTGAAAAATGCATTTGAATCATAAGTTGCTTTAAAGGGTTGCAATACCATTCTACCAAGGTATTATAACTTAATGTGTTGTTATATTTAGCTTCTTGAACAGCTTGACGTCTTTTAGCTAAAATAGTATATTAATCATGCTATTTGAAGGAATTTTCCTATAGTTCCCCTAAATTATGCAGCATTTTCATGATATGTATGAAAGTAATATTAACTTTTTTGTTAGCAAATACTTTTTTCTATAATCTATAAGCTGTTAAACTTTTTAGTTGTTTATGCAAATTTTGCTTGATTTTATTAAAAGAACATCTGTGTTAGGCATTGTAAATAATGAAAATGTTCATGGTATTTAAGTTACTTAAGATTATATCGAAAGCTGAGTGTTTGATTACCTTAATGCTTTTCCAGATGGAAGAACCCAAGAGATTTAATGCACCTGTTACATATGCATCTCAGTCATTGCAAACAAATGTTATTAGATCAACTGAAAACCATGGAGCATCACATGAAGTTCACATTTTGCCATCAGATCGATCAATCCATGCAATTGTATTTTCTAGAAGCTTCCCAGTTTTTTCACCCCTTGCTCATGTTACAACAGCAGGTTCAACTCTCGTATAGCATCAATTGCCCTTCAGTGATGTAAAAATGCCTACAATGTCCATCGGACTATCAAGTAGCCATTTAGGAAGGGATTTGTCTTCATTTGCATATCCCAGGGTTGAAAGACCACAAATTAAGTTGGATGGAGGATCAAGTGTGACTTCTTATGTCTCCCAAGTACCAGGTAATTCTCTCTTCAGCCATGTCTCCTTCCCTTGTTAGCAAACAAAATTGAAGGACCCTATTTACATATCATTTGGAATTTTTTGGGGTTTGAATTTAGTATTATCTAGAGATTTGATAATATGGCATAATTCCTTTTTCCATGGATGGGGGAATGGTTTTCTTGGCTTGCAATGATGTTCTATTATAGCTTTCTACTATGGTCATATTATGGTCCAGCTTTTTTAAAATTAGTAATTAACAATGTTAACTTTCTCTTAAATTATTATTTTATATTAACTATACATATTACTCTAATTTTTAATTCAAATATATACCAATTCAAAAAAATATTAAAAATTATTAAAATAGATCGAGCGAAGTCAAGCCCAACACTAGTACATTATTAACAAAATCTTATAATTATTTATATTTTATTTATTTTTCTTTGATTTTAAATATTTTTATAAAAATGTTAAAATTTAAAGTATTTTATATTTTTAAAATTAAAAAATTGTGTTGGTTACAAACAATATGGAAACGCAACAAGAAAAATTTAATCATGGTCTATTAAATATTCAATATAAATTCTTTTTCTTTTTAAATGTTAAATATTTGTAATAGTAAAAGTATGCAAATGAATTTTTTTATTATTTCATAGGAGAGTTATTAACTTACATTGTTGTAAAATTTTTCAATTTTATATTTATTTATTTATTTTTAATAGATTCAAAAGATGAGATTAAATCTTTTTTTACTTGTCTTTCTTGTCTCTTAAATTTATTAAGATCAATAATTTAAAAAAGTATTAAAAGATGTAAAATTTTTTTAATATAACTTGATCTTTCGCCTATTTTATATTAAAATAATAATAAATATCTTAAATAAAAAATTAATGGAGAACAAAATCATTTCAAATAATTACAAACATTCTAATATTTTAGTATCAATTTCTTAATAACCAAAGCAATTTAATTAACCCCAAGCGTAACAGGGATGAATATCAGCACAAGAAAAATCAGGGTTGAGAATATATATTTTATTCAACTCTTAATATGCTTGTATATGTTTGGTTTGTTGCTAATGGATATTTTGTTTGGGTTTTACCCTACTTTTGTGGTGGTTACCCATCCATGGCGAATATTGAATTTTATCCTGAAATTTTATTTATTATTGTTTTTTTGGGCTTGGATGATGGTTGTGATGAAAGGAGATAGGGAATATAAAATTTAAGCAAAGGGGTGGCTAATAGATGGATGTTTGGTGACAAGAATAAATATAGATGAGAGATTTTACGTAAGAAAATAAACAAGAGCGACGATAAGCGCTAAAATGGTACTATTATATATATATATATATATTAATTTTTTAATTTTTTTGATTTTATATTTAAATGAATTTTTTATTTATTATTAATTAATTTTATATTAAATGTTTAATATGCTAGGAGAGTTTATATTTGTTGTACTCCCTTGTTTATTGCCTTTTTTAAGTTTATCTTGTAATAATTTTGCCTACATATGATAGCGATTTATTAAAATTTAATTAATTATTACACATCTATTAAATCATTGATTGTTTATTAATTTATATTTAAATTGAATATTTTTACTTATTTTTAATTAATTTTAAATTGAATATTTAAAAATAAAAAATTGAAATGAAAGTTTAAAAAAAACGAAGATCAAGGTAGGAATTGACGACGAATGCAACATGTAATGTTATTCTAAGAAGACATACTTTTGTAAGAAGACTTTGGTAATGTAGTATGCATTACTTTTGTTTTCTATGATAAACCTTCAACTTAAATTTAATTTAATAGTAAAATGTTAATGTACAATAATATGATAGATAAGTTTTATTATGCATAATAGAACTTGAATAAACCATTAATATAGCAGATTTTGTATATAAAGTATTATATATAACAATATATTAATGGACAATGAGACTTATCCCTTCCGAATTTTTTGATTTTATATGTCAAGCGTTCAGTTCTGCTCTGCTCGACCGGAACAGAAAGGAAATAATAATAATAATAAATATCAATTATGCATATAGAAAAGTATTGTAGATCATCAAGTTAAATCTAGAGCTTCAAAAGTCATAAACTGGGCCATATTAGAAATTCGAGAAGTAAAGGTTTTGTAGAGCCCAGGGCGATGTAACGTTCCAGATTCAACTGGGGAGTCGGTTAACTGGGGGACAAAACAAAACCTATATACAAGACGAGACTTGTTGAAGTTGATCCGTTGAAATTGAAACGTAAAAGACTTCGCCTTTGCGGAGCTAGACAATTATAATTGTGTTTCTCCTATGTCTGCTCCCTTACATTAATTTCCTGTTTTCTGCTTCAACGACCTTAATCCCCTGTTTGGCACGAGTTCGTTGAAGTATATCCATCAACCATACCTGTTAATGAAAAAATATCTACCAAATATTTTATTCATTTTTATAAATAAAACCACAAAACAAATATTAATAAAAATATCAAAATTTTAAAATATATTGCAATTATATATTAAAATATTGAAACACAAACAGATAGGATCTACCTGTTCAGTAAAACTGTTTATGAAAATTTGAAATATTAAAAATTTTAAAACAATTTATAATCTTAAAATTTTTTTTGATTATCTTCTTTAACGATAAAATTAATAAAAATTTTTTCTATATTATAAATAAATAATTTTTTAAAAATCCTAAATTCGTTGCCGAACATAAATAATTATGAAGATAAGGTAACACATTTGATAAAGAAAATGGAAATTAGTAATCAATTACAATTACTAACTATTCATATTTAGAAAATTAGTGTGTACAGGGGAAGAAAAGTCTATTCATGGTGCTTGCAACTTCAAAAGAATTTAGTACTTTTGTATGTTTTTTACGTGGTGAGTTAGGAGTCAGGACGCATCATTTGTTTGACCTTGGCTCCACCATTAAGGAAGCGTATGCCTATTTTATTCATTTATCTAGTGCAAAATTATGGACCAATTCAACATATGTGGATAAATATAAAATTTAACCTTGACTTAAATTGATTTACATAGCTATCAAATTAAATTGATTTACATAGCTATCAAATTAAATTTAAAACATAAAATTAGCTTAAACTCGAAAATGACTTGTTTGTTTTCAAAATATAGACAATATTATCTACTGTTACAGGTTGTGAAATGAATCAGTGATCACGTCGACAAAGATATCATTGGTTAGGACACGTGGAGGATTAAAAGTTACTAATAAATTAATGGTAAAAAAGCAAAACATTGGTTGTAAAAAGATAAAAGAAATCAGCAAGAATGTTCTGTCCAAGTATGAATCCCGTCTACAGATAAATACTCGTCTGTCTGACATCTTTTCCTAGCCTTTACTTTCTGTCCTTTATTTCTGCCGTGGCTGTTCACATTGCTTTGCAGTTTTCACGTTCCAACCTCTATTCAAAATTCAATCTCAGTTCTCAGATCAAACAAAGAAAAAGCAATTCTTCTGCAAAGGAAAATTAAAAATGTGTTTGGTATTTCTGTGTGATGAAGAGGAGAGAGAGTTGGGAAGACAGCAGGCGCCTGGGTGTTGTCCGCACTGTGGGGGCAAAGTAGAAGCTGTGGATGTTGAGAGCCAGTGGAGGTTCTGTTTCTTAGCCATTTGCTTCAAGATTAAGAGAAAATATTCCTGCACCTTATGTTCCAGGCGTTTGGTCTTGTCTTACTAGCAAACTTCTAGACTCCTAATTTCTTCTTCTTTTTTATTTATTTATTTATATTTCTTTTTGGGAATGTTGTTGAGAATTCATTTCTTGAATGCTTAGCAGACTTTTATGTTTCAGGCCAATGTGAAAAAATCTCAAAGCATTTGAATGGCGGCCATCGAATGCTTTGATCCTCATAATTGTAGATGCTCTGCTTCCGTGGTAATCAATTTTTTTTTCTCTCCCTTCGCTTCCACTTTCTTTTTCTGTTCTGCCATGATCAAGAGGTTTCTAAGCTTTTTTTTTTTTCAGGAAAGAGAAAATAGATCTGAGATTCCATTTTCTTCTCTTAAATATATATATATATATAGTTTAACACACAACATTAATTTTCTGGGTTAGAAACTTCTGCATTTGTCAATCAGCTTAAAACGAAATTAAATTCTTGATTAATGTAATTAAAAATTAACTGGAAATAATATCGTATATTTTAATGCTCGCCATTACCTGATTATTTATTTTATATATATAGCTGCAAACTTTTTCCTTTTTAGTGAAGTATATTTTTTTTGCTCTACACATTTATTATTTGTGAGATTAGCACTGAAGCAGTTTTTTTTTTTTTTTAATAATACTGTCAAACAGTACTCAGTTTAAGTTGTATGTTTAATAGAATCAGATATGTTCTGCCTTTCTATAAATATTTCAGTTTTCATTTCTTAGGAAAATGATTTATTTGTTTCTTGAAGAAGGGAGCGGGCGGAAGAATCAGAGGTTATTTCCTTTAAGGTGTGTTCGGTATCAAACGGAAAATAGCAACAGAATTGTATGAAATTATTGGTTAGAACTTAGAACACAAAGTCTTTTCCCAAGTCCCGACTTCCGACTATTGGATGAGACATGGTTTTTTTCAACTTGTACTTTTTTTTTATTCATGCCAAACACGCGATTAACTTTTTTTTTTTTTTGGGGCGGGGGGGTGGGGGGGGGGTGTGGTTTCGTTCACCAAATGTACAAACTTGTCTTGTCTCGCATTTGAGGGGGAAGTGGCTGATATTTCGCTTTCCTGATTTAGTTCAACGCTGAAAAACCAGCTGCAGCGTAAGGTCATTGTTATAGAGCAAACCGTCAGCAATGACCAACGCCTAAGAAATATCGCCATTCTACTTCATTTTACTGCTCAAATCACTTTTTCTTTTGGAGTTTTAAATATTTTCTTTTTATCTTAAATTGAAAGTTGATCTAAACTATAAAAGAAAAAGAAAGTTAATATTATATCTTTCACATTCATTATTTTAAAAAAATCTAAAACTTTTTTTTGTATGTTTCATATTAATTTCTAATAATTAATATTTTTGAATTTGAATATTAAAAATTATTATGAGACATCAATATTAAAAAATAATTTTAAAATATCAAACTAGTATTTTTTTTCTACAATTTTCTTGTCTAACTAAGTACGAACAATCAATTTAAGACGGACTAAGCATTATAAATTAATATATGAGACGTTTTAGGGATCAAAGACTTAACTTTTTTATAACATTAATAGTATAAATTAAATTTATACTCCTACAATCACTTATTATATTTCATATAAACAATTAATTAGCTAAAATCAGATAAGAAAACTAAATGATGAAGCAACGTATAGTTAAATAAAATTTAAAATAAAATTAAATCAAATCCATAGAACTGGTACTTAGGTCTAGGTCTTTTCTTGATACTAATATAAGGTTTGATTCTCCTTGATACTAAGATAACGCCTTATTCACGTGCAAGACACAACTTTTCATGCTTTTGTTCACGCGCATGAAATTGGCAAGAAGTGTAAAAAAAAAAAAAAAAAGTACAACTTGAGGTCGGTGCAACAACTGAAGAGATAAGGATCCCTAGAATTAAAGAAAGATTTTCCAAAAATTAGAAACTGCACGTCAACATTTTACACGTTTTTGTAGTCTAGGAATTGTATATTTACCCAAATTAAACCACCATTAAATTTTTTTATGAAGATTACAAGTATAAATAAAAATTGCATTAATTCAATGAAACATTATTCGACATATCTAGTTAATTCAAGAAGAAATCAATGAATAAAACTAATAATATAAATTTGGACTAAACTCATGTTTGATAAGAGTTAAGCCTAAAACTTAAAGATTTCAGGTTTCCTCCTTTTATTGAGACAAGGTTTTACTAGCATACCACTATATTAATTTTGATTGGCTCTAATAAGGTTGATGTTTGATCTGCCATAGAAATTCTATATTAATTTATGTTCAAGTAATTTGTTTACTACCTCATAAAGGGATTTGTTAACAATTAACATTTTTACGTGTGGGCAATATTAAATATTTTTTCAAAAAAAATCTTAGTAAATTACTATTTTCTCTTTTAATAATCTTAATTAATATATTTGATTTTCAACAGGTCAAGTAATTCATGTCTAGTTTCCCTTTGTCACTTCGAAAGAAGACAGAGCTACAGGATCCGCTAGCAGCCGTACTTTAACCCAACCCAATCGCATTAACCCTACTTGGCCCGTTTAATCTGTGTTAAATTTCAACTTGGACTAGTGTTGACCAGACCCAAAAGAAACAAGCCCAGGTCTGATTTGAGTTGGGTTTTAACCCAAACTTTTGGCTTTTTTTTCTTATTATTTATTTATTTAATTAATTATTTATATCCTACTTATTTTTTTTAAACAATTGTTTCAATTATTTGATAATAAAAAATATAATATATAAGATATAATAAATATTCAAATAAGATTTATTTTAATAAATTTGCATATTTAATTTATTTTTAAATACTTTTGAAGTAAATGAATTTCTAGAGTTATATGAAAAATATTGAAAAATACTTGATAAAATTTTTATATTTAAAATTTAAATAAAATAAAATAAAATTGATAAAATTAAAAATAAAAAATCTATTTAGATAAAACAATTTTAAGATAATATGAGATTAATCAGTCTTATATTTTATATGAGCAATGTACACGTTAATACCTTATTAGCATGTATTGTGTTTCTAAACTTAATTTTATTAAGTAGATCAAAATTTATATTTTTAAAGAATTTTAGTTAAGTTTAAGATTCATTTACGTGAACAACCACATCTAACACAACAAAAATGATGGCAATTCTTTTTTTTTTTTTCTTTTAACTAAGGGACGAGTTATCGTATCTTATAACAATACAAATGGGTTTCTCGCGGAAATCCTGAATTTCTAGTGTAGGTGGTAAGATTTGTTCACATAATGCTGCTTGGTTAGTGGGGTTTAAAGCTCATTTGGGTCGATGTTCAAATATAGTAGTTGAATTGGAGGCATGGGTTGATGTTCAAATATAGTACGTAGTTGAATTGTAGGCGGTGAAAGTTTGGTTTGCTTCTTGCTTGGGAAGAGGGCTTTAGGAAAGTGATTTGAGTTAGTTGCTAAAGTTAATATGGACTTGATTAATTCTGCTGATATTGCACTTCACTCTTTCCGTAGCTTAATTGGTGATATTTTTGAGTTCAAGAGAAGAGAGTGGCAGTGTATATTTTCTCATGTATTCAGGGACGCCTAGACTCGGCATGTGAAATGGAGTTGGATTTTGAGGTTCTTCATTAATCACCTCCTAGTTTAGTTTGTGGGTTTATTTCACCGGATGTTTGGGTGTGGGGTTTCTCCAGAGGAGCGAGGATGCTTTACTTTTATCTTTTATCTTTTTTGTAACTATCGATGTTTGCTCATTTAAGTTCGTATCATTTTGGACTTTGAATTTATTCAAGTTAATCGAGTTGAGGATTTTTTTTTAATCAAATTGGGTTCAATTAATTCACATCAAATTGTGTTGAATTCAAATGAATTAGACTAAGTTTTTGGATTTACGTCAGCTTAGTCAGCTTTACCATTGATACCGGAGAATGTTGTTCCCCAATTTATATTGAAGCATGGTCATTCCCCAATCCAAACATGGCATACTAATGTTAGGGTACTTTTATTTTAATTATATTTTCTAAAAATATTTTTAGAATGTTTTAATTATATATTTTCAAGAATAAATTTTATAATGTCTAAAAATATTTTTTTTCTCAAGAACAATTTTTTTAATGTTTAAATACATAAAATATTTTTTTCTCTCAATGACTTGTCATTTTTTGTTGATAAAAGAAAATTTACATTTCGTTAGCAAGAAATTCTTTTTCTTGTTTGATTTGTAATTTTTTTGTTTGTTAACCTCTTGTTATTGATAATAATATAAACAATATATATTTTCTAAAAACTTAAAATAGCATTTAAATAAATATTTTTATAAAATTAATTAAACAATAAATGTTTAAAATAATGGAAGTCATAGTTAAAAACTATCAAGTAAAATAAAAAGAAACATACGATAATTTATTTAAAAGTTTATATTTGATGTATTATTAATGAAATAAATATATAATAATTTAATTAAGAGTTTATATTTGACATATAGTTAGTGTAAACTATAAGTTTATATTTGATATATTATAATGAAATAAACATATAATTTATTTAAGAGTTTATATTTGATATACTATTAATGAAATAAACATATAATAATTTATTTAATAGTTTATATTTGACATATGATTAGTGTATAATAACTATACACCATCCATAAATTAGATATTTAATGTATTATTATATATAAATTATATATACTATCAATAAATTAGATATTAGATGTATTATTAATATATAAATTTTATATATTATTGGTAAATCAAAAAATATTATAAAAGATATTATTTCATTGATAAATAAATATTATAAATTTACTCATTAATAAAGTGATACTTAAATAGCATTATCATTTGACTCATTAATAGATAATATTATCATTCGATTAATTGATAATGTATAATAAATAAAATCTATATACTGATAATATATAATATATAATATTTAAGAGCATAGACAATATATATAATATATGTATAATATATAAAATTTATATACTGAATATAAACTTTTTATTTAAATGGTAAATTGGTATTTCCGTTATCCAATATCTTATTTCATCATCCAACAAAATAGGTATAATCCTTTCATAATTATTTCGTTTCATGAACGCATCACATGCCCCGATTGAAAGTAATACATCTAAAGTGATAAAGGTCATGTTCTAACCGAAGTAAGAAGAATAATTAGCTTTTCTTAATTTTTTTAAAAAATCTTAATTAATTACCATATTCTCTTGTAATTATCTTTATTTATATAATTCATTTTCAATATGTTAATGAATTCAAGTTTTAGTTTCCCTTTGTCACTACGAAAAAGAAAAAAAGAAATCCCAAAAAGCCAAAATCAACACCACAAAAAAAAAGTAAAACAGATTCGATATTGTTAAATTATTATATACCATTACTTAATTAAAAAAAAAAGTATAGTGGTTGTTTTATTTATCTCTCATCAGATACAAATGATATGAGATTTAGTCTAATTTATTGAAGGGGAGAGTCGATGTTATGAACAGATCTGGAGAAAGCAAGGATGTCATCAGGATTTTGAGCTCCATCGCCCTTGTTTCGTCCTTTATCAGCAGGATCAGAGATGACTGTTTCATTAATTACTATCTTAGCCTTTTGATCCATCGCTGTAGTCCTTGTTATGCCTTCAAAAGAAGCTGTTGCATCATCTTCCTTCTTTCCTTCTATCGCTTGCTATGCCTTTTCTAATCTTCTCTCTTTGTTTCCATCCATTTTCTGTTTTCTACATTTTATCTCCCCTGTCCCCCGACTTACCCTAAGTTTACGATTCAAATGAGAAAAGACGGCATTCATTTATAGGACCAGAAAGAAAATTATTATTATTATTAAAATAAAACGTGTCACGTTTCTCCCATGCAAAGGGAGAGGAAACTATACGTAATCTACCTCTTTAATGCGGTAAAACCACAAGTGATATATAGTGAGGCGGTTCGGCAATGCCCCACTCCCAACG